GTAGTAGTAGTAGTAGTAGTAGTAGTAGTAGTAGTAGTAGTAGTAGTGTGTTAAAACATGTTAAAACCAACCTGTTGGGCCACTTTTGTCAAACATTTTCTAAACTCAATTTCAACATTGCATTGTCCAAACATGTCTCTATAAAATCAAAACCAACTTCTTGGGCAACTTTTGTCCAGTGTTTTTCTAAAATGAAGTTTTCAGCTTTCATATTTCCCCACACTTTTTGTAGAATCAATACCAACCTTGGCTATGCATCATTGATTTTCCAGTTTTTTGCTATCAACTGTTCATGATGATGAACACCCATACCCTGAGGCACCTCATTCTATATAGAACATATTTCCAGCACTGCAGGAAGTTGATATGTGATTCGGAACCTAGTTTTTCGTTTTATAAGTATAAATTCACGTCCCAAGTCCCAAGGTACACCGGTAATTCTGCAGGGGATCATATAATATGTATTAATATGCATGTCATACCCCAGTTCAAGCCAGACTGGGTCCGTGCTTGGACATCTAAGGGTGCTTGACAGGTGTCAATCTTTTGGTATGCCAGCCTTTGAAAACCAAGGTCGATTGATTCATTTGGAGCAAGGGCAGATCACCAAGAGCGCGTCTTGGGCTGTCCTCAACAGGTGCTGAGATTTCGCTGAAGATCTTCGAGTCTCCTCCATAGACTTGCTGTTGGGCAGTGGTGGTTTGTTGGCAAGGAGCAATTGCAGCATGTACAAAAACCAGCATCAGTTGGTTTGATCATCCGTGAACTCGCTGTTAGCGAAGGCAGAGAGAGAGAGAGAGAGAGGGATATGGAACCTCCTTCCATCTGAAAAGATCTATATAACCATATTTAACTGATTTATGATTTATGTGATTGCTCTTTGGTCATTTTCACTTTTAAAGCTGTAGCTCCTGATGTTTTGAACCTGGGGACGACTGCTCCCCAGTTCGTGCGATGGCCGGTGTCGCCATGCAAGAAGTGCACGACATGTCTTTATCCTGCCACAAAGCCTGGCAAGTTTCTGGACATCATTTCGAGAGCTCAGTCTTGTGCGACAAGACAAGAGTATGTCGTCGTTTCTCGCTACGCATTTGAAGGGGGTTGATTGAGTCCGAAGTTGGTTTGTCAAAAGTTCTGAGCGTGGCCGGAAGGTCCAATGAAATCAAACAGCAGCTAGTCTGTTGCAGTGCCAGACACATATGATGTGAAAGCTTGGATTGCTTGGATAGCTTGGATTGCAGGCTGGGGTGCAATTCCGTGTAGCGCCAACCCTGCTGCCGGGGTAGCTCAAAGATGATTTGAGGGCAGAGTGACAGCTCACAGGACCGGGAGTCGGCTGCAAATGACTGAATTTGTGAAGAATGTACAGCAATAGCTTGAAGCCAGGCAAGGCCAGCAAGGCGTCATCCTTCACCACTCAGTCACCACCAGCAAACAAAGAACTTCCCTCGGGGCAACTGTTGGTACTCTTGGTATTTGGGTGAAAAAGAGAGTTCTGGTTCTGACTGTGCAACTCCTAGATCTGCAAGCTGCCAGTGAAGCTGGCAAGAAGGTTTTCTCAGAGCGTTTGGATATCATTGTAGTTTTTACCTGGCAGTTCTGTGGCTATGGTGCTAAGCCGGGGATGGCTCTCTCTTTTTTCAAGGCGTGTGGTCTTCACCACCTGGCGCGATTGGCTTTGCTTCAACAAGATCATGGATATAGAGCTCGCGAACCCAGACCGGAGCAGCTAGAAAGTTCGGTGGCTGAACCTTTTGGACTTCACAGTGCTCGGTAGCAGGTGTCACACAACGGCCACCAACTGAATTCCAAGGAGTATGTTTGCACTTGGGCTACACGAACACGTTGTTCAAAGAATCAATCGCCCGCCATGCACGTCCAAGACACTTTCTTCTGGCAGTTGGTATCCATTCATTGTGGCATGCAGTTGTTTGCTGTGTTTTGGGGCATGTGGCCAGTTGTCGCCGTCCACAGTAGATACCGTTTTTACGACTTTGCTGTATAAGCCATTGCCCATGGTTTTCAACCGAATCTTTGTCCTCAGCCTTAGTACTTGGCTCTTCTCATTGACAATCGTCTTGAGGGTCTCCAAGGAGCACATCGTTGGCCCCATCATTTTGATCGGCTGAACGAGCTCAGGTTGTACATGAACGAGCACATTGTTGGCTTGAATACCAGCAGGGCCCTCGGGCAAGAAGCACTGCGAATGTTGGCAGTCATGTTTTGGCAACATGTCATTAGGCTACTGGCTAGACCAAAGGTGGTCTCTCCATGTTCATGTATGTTCCAGGGTTTTGAGACCATATTATCGCTATTAAAGGTTGGATGCCATCACTATTAGGTTGGAGGCCATCGCTATTGTTCTTAGTTCATGTATGTTCCAGGGTTCGAGGAATATTCATTTTTTGAGAAAGACCTCTGCCTCATCCACAGGCGAGAGGGCGATCACTCTGAGGGTGCGATGGGTGTCGGTGTTGTGGGTGTCGGCTTTGGGCATTTGTTCACTGATTGGATTGGAAGAGACCAAGATGAGGATTTATGAGGCACGTTTCTGGTAGAACATGAAAACTGCATGCGATCGCCACGTTTCTGGAAATCAAGAGATATTCCAAGGCTTTCTGACTAGGGTTCAAGCCATGCCTTGCCTGAGGCCGCTTTCGGCAAGTTTGATAAGTTCTTAATGAACACGCACCCATGACACTGTTTTGTCATATCATATACCGATCATTGACAGGCACCATGTGCACGAACATGGTACAGATAACACAGATATGGGTAGGATTGGGTAGGCATGAATGCTTTAAGGATCTTTCGAGCCTTTTGAACATTGCACCACCCCCCTCAATCATTGATTGGGCTCTTCTTTTGCCCGCAAATCTGCTGTCTTGTTCGATCAGTCATGAACATTGCCCAGACTTTTCCTTGACGAATGGAAAAGGTCCGACATACAGAGTAAGAACCTACTGTACTGGAACCGGCCTCTTTCTAGTTTGCCCCGACTGGCAGAAGGACCCCAACAAAGAGATCGTTTGGCGTTTCTGGGCTGATGAGCAGCACACGGACCATGATCGGTTGCAGGTGGGGTGGGGGGTCAAGCGACCTCGAATGCGTGGGACTTGATCTGCAAGACAGACACGGCTAGCTACTGCTGTTTGGTCGTTTGCTACTGTTTTTGAGAACCGTTGACTGTACATGTGAGCATCATCCAAGTACGCTTGCAATTTAGAATTATTATCTCTATATATATTATATATACACACCGTAATTACCCAATTCCTGCATTGAGACTTCTGTCAAAATCCCACCCTCTACTGTCATTCTAGAATTCTTTTTTTTTTTTTAAACCAATTGTGTTGTGTGAAGCAGACTTTAAACACCTCCATCTACGTCGATGATGAATTCACCACAAAAGAGACTCCTCTGCCGCGCTACACTGTGATTCAAAGTACACCAACAACGGCTTTTCGACAAGCTTTGAGTGGTTATATATAATATATGCCCTGATGAATTTAGGTATTTCTATTACTGGTTTGCCATTGCACGCATATCCTTGTTTGAATTGGCGTTGTTTTCTTTGGATCAAAGTCTCAAAACTTGATCCATGTCTTTGGTGTGTAGAATATGCTTTAGTCACTTTAGTCTTCAACATCAAATCCTTTGTTCACAAAAAGTTTATCCAAGCACGGGGGAGAGGGAGAGGGAGAGGGAGAGGGAGAGGGAGGGAGTCAGTCAGTCAGTCAGTGGGCTTATTGCAAACTGAATACTCAATAGGCAGCTTTGTCGAGATTGCTTCGATCGGTATGTGAACGGTGACAGGTGACACTTGATCCAGCTATCCCCTTCAAGGCTACCATCCATCTGAGTCCGTTGTCTCAGTGTGTCGGCTTGGGGAATGAATTGGGTAGGGTGGAAGGTAGGATGTGGCATCGGTCCCATTGGAATCATAGGCATAGACACTCACAAAGTCTTGGACCAATTCGAGGGAATTGTGGAGTTGTAGACGACCTTTCCATGCAGAACCTTGAAGGGATCTGAGCGTGTCACAGCCATCGTACAGCATGAACAACAATCCACATGTTTGCCTGGATCGGAAGTCTCCATACGTGCGTATCTCTATTGTGAAGCTGGCTCTGTTTCTGAATGTATACACCTTCGCTTTTTTGTTTCTCAGCTCCTACAGGACCCTTTCAAGACCGAGAGTTGCACCTATCGAAAGCTCCTTGAAAAGACCAGATGTGCCTGTTGATCCCACTTGGTCACATGGTAGCATCAGGTTGGAGGCCATCGCTCTTAGGTTGGAGGCCATTGCAATCGGGTTGAAGGCCTAAGATGGTAGCTACAGTTGCACTTCCCCCAGTTCAGGGAACTTCCAAAAAGCAAGCCATCCTGTGTTACAAGTGCGCGAACTTGGATGAGATCTTCAGCCACCCTGCGGACACTGCTGCTGTGCGTTCATGTTGTGGCAGCTCTCCAATACAAACACATATCTTGTACTGTGTTTGGATGTACTTGGGTCTATACTGTACATTAGCACACCTACAGGCCTAATAGACTATCATAACAGTCTTAAGAAAAGGATAGGTCACATCTTCTGAACGGTAGGTATGACTTTCTATAATCGTTACCCTTTAGGCCAGGGCCTCCAGGAGTTTGGGTACGTAGCAGACGGCTTTGAGTCGAGTCGGGTCCCAAGGGTTGAGGCACAGAGCTGGTCACCTGTGGTCACCTGAGCATATCAACGAGGCCAGACCTGCTCCATAAACAGGTCAGTTGCCGGCAACTATTCGTGGCGGCACTTTGATGCCATTGCCAGCTGTTGGTGGGGTCTATGCGATAGAGGCGCTCCCTGCGTAGAAACAGAGTGCAACATGCAGCAACATGTACTTTCTTCACTTTCTGGTAAAAACCCGCCCAGTAGAATGAGGATGTGGATTTGGACACACTCCTATAGCCTATAGATCATATATCGTTCGACCTGTTGTAATTCCTGCCATGCTCATGGAATCCTCAAGCGACACATTCGGACTGATTTTGTCATCCAGCTCCTTAGAAGGTTGAAGGTCAAGGCAACATAGAGAACAGTTGTCGTGGCAATGCGGATGCTCTTTGTGTTGCCCTAAAGGTTCCCGGTAGCACCTGCCACAGGTTGATGAAGGTCTGTTCCTTGATCGGCCAGAGCAGATTGAGGCGAGCCGGGTGAGCTGATTGAGAACTGGGTTCAGGCTATAGTGAGTCCGCAAACAGCATGCTTGTGAAGCTCTTAGGGAGTGGAATCGCACCTGATCATATATATATATATATACGCTGTGTATATATATATATATGTGCTTGGATACACCGGGTTTGTACCACCAAGCTGCCACGGAGGAAAACGTGACTGTGCCTCTTCCACTTGGCGCGACATGTGGCTACTTGCTCAGTGCGTGTGGGAGGGTATGAAGGGGCCTAGGCATCCCTTTTTTGAGGAAGAGCGTGCCAAGGAGATATTTGTACGGATTGCGCAAATCGAGAGTTTTTCACGAAATCCTTTGAAGGTCTCCAAACCCCATATAGCCACTGAGGTTGAAGATACTAGTATATAGGAATGAAGTACTGTCTCAATCGAATCTATTAGATGGTTTGTTCTCATGATAGAACGGTCAATACGAGATATACTCAGAGCTTGCATAGCATCCGGAACATGTATCCATACAAGGTCGTCATGGCTTAGGCTGAGGTGTTGTTCTGTTACTCTTTCATGAGCACGTGACTTCTCAATTGATTCTGAGGTGACTTCAACTTCAGCTGTGGGCCTGGTCGAGAGCTGGTGCAGAATGCCACCCACTACAGGCGCATCAAGACATGACGAGGACCACCGAGGACCAACACGGCAGGAGCTACTAGTAGCTTCTTGTTGCTAGTAGGGATGGCCTCCAGCCTACTTGCGATGGCCTCCACCGTGCATAGCGTCCGACCACCGAGGACCACTTGAACCAAAATCTGTGAACTTCCGGTTTCTTCCACTCGAAGACACGGACGTCATTCTTTGCTTTCCACCCAGAGAAGGATCAGTTATAAGCACACCTAAGCACACAGTCACTTAGACAGACCATGACCGACCCTAAGGAACATCGAACCTACACATGCATTTGATGGAGGAGAATGTTGCTTTTTCTATCTTTTTCTTCTAGGTGATTTGTTGACAGGGATTGCACTTGGCTCAGATTTCAGATTATGATCCCCCAGAGACAGAACACAGCAAGGTGTGCTGCTTTCGACTACTGCAATGAGGATGACAACATCACTTGTTGTCAGGCAGGAACGGGCTCCTGGTGCAAGCTAGGCGCACACACACACAACACCTATCCTTTTTGCACCGCACTTTGGTTGTTGCAGTTTCCAGCAAAAGCTAAGCGGCATTTCCGACAATCGATTGTGATGCGGTCGGCCTTTTGTGGTGGGGCGCAGACAATGACATATATATATATACAAAACAAACACATAGCAATATGTAATATGTATATATATATACACATCTCTGATGTATCAGTTGTCCCTTCAAAGCGTGTAGCAGCTGGAAGGACAGCTCAGCTTTTGTAGGAGTTTTCAAAGTCTAATTGCGTATTTCTCACGGGTTGACAGTGGATGCAGATAGGGGTGCGTTTCAATATGTTTCAATATCAACCGAGGAACTAGATACTAGAGATGTTGCAGCTTTATCGCTTGTATTGATCTATTGATCAGGGCTGGACGTGAGAGTGATTATTTATCAATCAGTTTAACGCCAGCAGGACCTGCCATTGGCAATCACAGAGATGAACACGACGACGGAGGCAACGGGCAAGTCCTGCTCATCCAGAAAAAGAGAGGGAAACGAGAAGGTGGACTTGACTTGGGCCTTTTCATAAGGTCCCTTGAATAAGGCTCCCCCGAAGGGGGCCCAAGCACCTTCTTGTTCTCCTCTCTTTTAACTGTTCTATCTTGCACTAGGTACGCTAGGTACTCCTGTTCTATCATATCTCATATCTCATGCTAACGTTCATGAACCTTCCAGGTGGTAGGTCGTGGGGAGAAGGTCTGCATGAAGAGTCTCCTGTGAAAGAGCTAGTCCTATCTAGCCGGATCCATTTGGTGATCGATAGCAACAACTGCCAGGTCAATTTGGAAGGTCAATTCTGAAGTTGACGCCGTAGTGTTGGATTGATGGTTTTTAATGACCACCCATCAATGGAATGACAATGCCGATGATGGCTAGACAGACTAAACGGACAAGAGCCCTGCCTGGCTTGAAAGCTTTGATAGCTAGCCAGCCACATGGAAAAGGGTGGACCAAACGTCTCATTTGTGAGAACGACTCATCGAATCTTACTCTCCTGTATTCTTAGACAACAAACATATCTACCGGTGGATGACCGGTTAATTATGTATCAGAGAGGACTCTAACACGTCAACCCCAAGCCAAACGTTGACCAATCAATGCAGTCTCTATCCCCCGACTTTGGCCCGAAGACTATTTTTGCAACGGGTTGGTTAGTACATAGGTTGCTGAAAGACTCACCAGCATTTTCTTCACAAGGACCTTAGATTCCACCCTTGCCAGGTTGCTAAACTTGCTTTTGACTGACCAATTGCGGTGGCAGCAAGAGTATCCATAAACCTCTACTCTTTGGTTGCAGTTATAAGCTGTATGCACTTGATGTGTACTTTGGACATGGTTCAATCAGGCACTTCACATCTTGATGTCATTTGACAGCAATAGATGCACACACACACACACACCTTTCTTGTGAATCACCGGTCGACCTGACGATGCCTTCCTTATCATGAACATTCCCTGTCAGATCTTGCCACTCAATGGAAGAGGAGACTTTGTTCACGGAAGTGCTGTGAATCTTTCAATTATATAATTCAGCTCGGAGCCGGAGCTCATTGCTCTGGCCTGCTTGGACCACTTTACCTAGGTCATGCTAAAGGTAGAGGGTGGCTCTTCTTGCGTTGGGAACGGTTTGGACAAGTCAAGCCAGAACCTGGTGGGATCCAGTTGCCAAAGGATTCGCAACCACCTAGCGGCCAATCATAGAGCGCACAAGTTGGACTATGCAACGCTTGGGGATCACCTTTCGATTTTAAGACCTCTAAAGCGCGCAAGGCACCGTGCGTGAATGACAGCAACTGCAGCAATGAGACCATGGTGCGGGCGCTGGGGTGTTGGATGGAACGATACTGGTGATGTGTGTATTGCATGGAATGCTGGACCTCAATGTTTCTCATAGATGAACAGAATGACTTTATGGCCTGTGCTTTGAACAATAGCTGCTCTTATTTTGTCGAATTGTTTGACCCGGTTTTCGGAACCTTGTGAGTGTTTTTTTTTTTTTTAAATTAATCATTTGACACTGTGTTGATGAATATGGGGTATAGCTCATGGTATAAACAAGGAGGTCTGCAAACTGATCAAGGTGATTGGTTTGCAGCTAAAATGCGTGCTGGTGTCGATGCAACCACTAGCTCCAGGATGGCTCCTGGCGACGGCTGATGGAGCTCGATCCTGGCTTTCGTGTAGAGACGACCTACTACGACCAGGCAAAGTCATCTCAGGTCGCAAACATGGGTATATAAATATATACATTATATAGCTTGGCTTTGTTGTTGCACTGTCCGGGTTTAAGCTGCATCAATTACAGCAGCAGAACATGTTGTGGGGAGGGACACCCGTTCCGAGAAAAAATCATTGCTTTTACATTATGAATTATGAGATGATGACCCAGTGAATAAGTGGCGCTTTCAAGCGATTCCAGAAAACCATCCGTCAGGTGTTCGCTTCACCAATGTTCAGCTTCCCATGGCGTGCGTGTGAGACGAGGCTGAAGTGGAATGGTGGGTGGGTCAGGATAAAACGGACCTGCCAGGTGTGAAGACATGTGAAACCAGTCTGAAGATAGATGATAGATAAGCTCCAGATACCTCCAACACATTTAGGCAGAACCCAGATAAGCTTCAAGGGAAAGGTTGCGCCAAGGTTATAGGTCCCAAAGATACTAGGGGCGGCAGAATGTTGTTTTTGCTTTAGGCTTTACCATCGACTACTCGGGTCATCATCTTCTGCATTGTTTGGTTGCTGACTGAGATTTGAGGGCCGGCAGCAGCTATTAGTCCGAAATAGTTATTCTCTTTTTAAGGGTATCCAACAAGAAGGAGTAATTCATTTGGGGCGCTGGCAGAGATATGAAAACCGTTGGTCGCGCCACAATCACTCATGTTTGTCCCAGGTATGAAGATCTGGAGGGCAGAACGGCTCGAGTCTATGTCCCATTGGAGGCCAGACGGAGGGGGTCAACCATCATCAACAAGAAACTCGGATACAAGAAACTCGGAATCATGCTCGCTTCCACAGTTGTTCAACTTGAAGACTGCCAAACTACAGGGATATCGAAGTAGGAGCCTTTTGGAATTCCCAGCAACACACCGACGGGAACTGTTCCAACTTCAACACAACTTTTACAATTTGTGCACAGATGGTACCAGGGTATTTCCGATAGCAGTCCGACCGCCAAGGTCCAGCGCTCGGAGATCAATGGGCAATTGCGCCCACAGCTCTTTGAGGCGAGAGCGCAAATGAGGTCTGTCTGTCGAAAGGGCCATCGCGCATGACAAATAGCCACCTCTATCATATCGGGTGTTGCGGGAACACAGATTTAATTAAGATGAATGAAGCTCGCCGCGGTATCATTGTTTGTCCGCTGGACCAATTAAGCTTCGGAGCTTCAAATTGTTTGACGAATGTGACCAACATGCAGCATGCTTGTTGCCAAGGCCCGAGCCATGTGCTAATCAAGGAAGAAAGGTTGCATTGTTGGACCGTGCATTGTTAACCATCCCGGATGGCCATCCCTCAGTTAGCAGAACATTCCCAGAGCACTCCCAGCACCCAGACCGCTTGGAGCCCACGCCTTTTAGAGAACCGTCGCCGCTTTGCGACCGCTTTGCGACCGCTTTGCGACCGCTTTGCGACCG